CCTTTTGCAGATTTTAGTCCCTGTAGGAGAGTTCAGAACTATTGGAACTAGGGATTGTTTGTATGCTGCGGCTTGCACTACATGACGTGATGTCCTGGCCAAAGAATCCCATGCTGGGCTCTGCTCTCCCTGGGTCTCTTTTGTTGCGGTGACTAACAGCCAGGGGCAGACAAAGCTCCTATTCAGGAGCCATCCCTGCAGGAGGACAACGCAGCCCCAGATGATGAGGCAGGCCGATTGGCATCTGGGTTTTTTCCCTCCTAATTCAGGAACAATATGATTGTTGGCATATGACTCCCCTGGGGGTGGGAACCGTGGCCTCTGCCCAGGGAGTAGCCTCCCAGGAAGACAGGCCCAGAAGCCTTCCTGAGTGGCCTTTTTTGGGGGGTATGGGAATGAACCCAGGGGTACTCTCCCCTGAACTACATCCCAGTTCTTTTTAATTTTATTTTGAGACAGGGTCTTGCTAAATTGCCTAGGCTGGCCTCGAACTTGTAATGCTCTTGCCTGAGTCTTGGGGGTGACTGGGAGGGATAACAAGTGGACATCATCAAGCCCAGTTAGCTTTCCTGAGCTCACTGGGAACAGGGAGGGAGTTGGGAGCAGTGCTAGGGTAAAGAGGTCTGCCGTTCCCTCACCTTTCCAAGACACTCTCCACTCCAGGCCTCAGCCTTCCCATCTGTAGATGATTTCTGTATCTGCAGAGGATTTGGAAACGGCCCTCGAAGTAGGATCTGGTCAGCTTGGGATGGCTTTTTACAAAGATTGTGGTTGCATTCCTAAAGATCTAGGTTTTAGGCAAAACAGTATGGGGACTTCCTCAGCCATGGTGATGACCTTCCCTACATATGGCCGATGCTGCCCCGAGAGTTTCCCAAGCAAGTGTTGGTTCACCTGAGCAAATGTAATGGAAGGAATAGCTGCTGGGCACCCATCTAATGCTGTCATGGGGCTTGATGCTTTCCTTGCTTCCTCTCTTATTTAGGTATTATGTGACTGGAAGTGAGCATCACCACCCCTCTTTTAAAAATAAGAAAGCTGAAGTTCAAAGAAATCTGGTAACTTCTCCCAGGCCACACCCCTTGTCAGCAGCAAAGCCAGGGTGGCAGCCAGGTCTTCTCCATTCCTGGCCCACCAGCCTTTATATTCAAGGCCCAGTTTCCCAGTCTCGTCCCTACTCTGACCGGAAATCAGGCAGCTGATTCTTTGCTATTCGGCAGGATGAGCATCCTGTTCTTCCTGTCCCCCACAGGCCTCATAGAGCCTGGAGACAGCCTTGTCTGAGAGGCACAGCTCCTCCTGGACCAGGCCTCGTCTAGGCAGCCCGCCCCATAGGAATGTCCATGATGACAATCTGACAATAAGGCTATCTGCTTCTTTTCTTTTTCCTTAAAGGGCCAGATAGCTCCTAAAAGCTTCAGGATCATCTGACATCAGTACTTAGGATAAAAACCAGAGAAAAACTTTGGGATGGAAAAATGTGGAGTACCTCTGGGCGCCCACTCAGGGATACTATTTATCTTAAGGCCTGGCCTTGGCCACTGTGGGGACAGCAGTGGCTGCAAAACTGACATCCAGAAGTTTTTGCTTCTGGGTTGTATACCCAGCACACGTACACTGCACAAAACGCACAATAAGGAGCCTCGGGATGCCAACCCACTAAATGGTGCACAACTCCAGGTCCAAGTTAAGATCACAAACAGATCCTGACCAAAACCTCATTTCTGACAACACTTAAGAACAAAATCATAAAACAAATCAAAAAACTCAGACCCAAGATAAACCAAACAGGAACTATCTCCTGAGAGTGAATTCCACCAGACACGGCTTTTTGGCAAGGAGGTTTCAGACATCTAATGGATACGTTTTTTTGCACACATCCGACTCTCCTTTTTATTTCTGGTATTGGGAATTGAGCCCAGGGACACTTTACCACTGAGCTATATCCCCAGCCCTTTGTATTTTTTTTTTTTTTAATTTTGAGACAGGGTCTCACCAAGTTGCTGAGACTGCTTTAAACTTGTGATTTTCCTGCCTCAGCCTCCTGAGCCCCTGGGATCACAGGCGTGTGCTGCCAAGTCTGGCACAACTCTTTTAAAAGAAGCATGGCTCAAGCTCTTTGGCCTCACAAGCAAGGTTGAAGAGGCCAAAAAAATCTTTGATTTTTAGATTCTCTATCAGAAAATCAGTGGTAACACTCACCTGGTGGAATAATTGAAGATTAAATGAGATCAACTTTGCTAGGGGCCCACCTTTCTGGCATGCAGTGGTAGCTGTGCTGAAAGATGATGTGTGATCCTTAGAGGACCCTCCACATTGCCCTCCCAGCTGGCTTCTCTCTTCATGGCCTGAGGGGTCTTCCACCCTCCTCAGGTCAGCAAGGCTGCTAACTATCCAGTGTTGACAGGTCAGGTGCTTCTCTGGGGAAGAAGACGGAGAAGCACCTTTTCTTTCTTTTTTAAAAAAATATCAGCCCCTGGAAGGCTCCTATTTAATGAGGAGCCAGTGAGGGGTGGACGGCAGCAGGCATGAGGTGATGCTCTCCCAAGATGGCCTTTCATTTAGGCATTGGGAGCCTTTCACCATCTGGGCCTATCTCACCTCTTTCCACACCACAAATATGGCACCATGTCCCCTCCTTCCTCTTCAGCTTTATCTGTCCATGCTGGGCACTGGCTGTCCCAGAGTCCCCACATACTTTCCCACCTCCCTGTTTTTGCTCATGTGTCCTTGCCTCGCCTCACCCTTGAATGTCTTTGATGGCAAAACTCATCTTGCCAGGTCCAAGCTGAGGATCTCAGGAGCACTGCTGCTCCTGCCTCTCACACCAGGTGTGCCTGGAACTTGTTTTCTCCCCAGATGGGAAGTGGTGACAGCTGTGGTGAAGAATAGAAGGCAGATAGAGCTGGGTCTGAGCTCTAGCCTTACCACATCCCAGCTGTCTGTCCTTGGGACAGCTGTGTAACCAGTGTCTCATCTGCAAAATGGGGTAACAAGACCTCCCTCCTAGGGTTACTGTGAGGATGAGATGGGATAAACCATGCCCAGTTTTCAGAACCAAACCTGGCAGATGGCAAACAGACCATAGCTACTGGTCCTTGTGTCTCTGGTGCCTAGAAATAGGAGTCCCAGTAGTGAACCAAATGCTCTGATGGCAATTTGTGAATGGCAATTGCTTGGGTACCGGGGGAAGTCCATGAATGGTGATGGGACAAGGATAGCGTATTCAGGAAAATTATGAACATACATGAGTAGGGAGAATGTTTTATAATGAACCTCATGTACCCAAAGCCCAGCCTCAATGACTGACTCACTGGCCAACCTCTGTGTTGCCCCCTCTCCAACACACAATGTATTATTTTAAAATAATCTGTAGATGTGAAAATGAATTTTATAATTTATGCTCTTGATGGAGCTTTTAAAAAGGAAAAACATAATCATGTATTACCTTCATTATGACTTGTGGCTTTATTTTACAGAAGGGAGACTGAAAAGTCAAAAGTCCAAGGTTGTCTCCAGAACCCAGGAAAGCTTGTGGATCTCAGACCAGCTTCCTCAGAGCCTCTCTCCTCACTAGAACCTAATGAGTTCTTAGTCATTTTGGGGTCAGCCTGAGATATTCTGCCTAAAAAAAAATCAAATAATGGTGGTATTTTCCCAATTTAGAGAAAACCCCAAGTTAATGGATGGAATTTTCAATGGAAAGTTCTGCTCATACGTTTTCCTCAAACCCATGATCCTTGTATCCACTCATCTGCAATTGAGTGCTGGTAGACCACAGAGTGAATAAACAGAAAAAAAAAAGATGAATGGAAAACCCTGGAAACCGTGTAGTTTGACAGCTTTCTGTGGACACATCTGCTTGTGGTTGTGATTTTATGTTGTGTGGGATGATACACGTTCTGCTAGTAAATTGTTAAAATTGTTCCTGCTTCATATGATGAAATCATGGGCAACACTGGTTTCTCAGGCCTGTACATAGTGCCCTGCCTCCCAAGTGCTCCTCCACCTGTCTAGAGATGGAGAAGGGGACAGTGGGCACTAGGAGGCCTGCAGAAGAATGATGCTTGAGCCAGGCATGGTGGCACATGCCTGTAATCGGAGTGGCTTGAAAAGATGAGGCAGGAGGATTGTGAGTTTAAAGCCAGCTTCAGCAAAAACCAGGTGCTAAGCAAGTCAGTGAGACCCTGTCTCTAAATAAAATACAAAATAGGGTTGGGGATGTGGTGTAGTGGTCGAGGACCCCCGAGTTCAATCCCTGGTATGCTCCTCCCCACAAAATAGATGCCTGACTCTTAGTACCTGAGTCCTCCAGACCCACTCAGTGGGCATCATCATAGCTTACACAGGAGAGGAAGGAAATGCGGAAAGCAGGCTTGCCAATTCCTTTTCAGGGTAGACACAGACATGAAGCTAAGAAGAAAACTCATTCCTATAAAATAAATTCCCTAGAATCATTTCTTATTGTGCGTAAGACTTCAGACCAGTACCAAGAGCTGACAATTACAGCCATTTTCACACAGGGTGCCTCCTGACTCCTTTTTACTCATAGTGTTCACACTTTGCTGGCTGATCTAGCACATCAGGGCACTCCCCACTGAAGTGGAAATCTTAGTTCTGAATAAAATCCTCTTGAGACATGACCACGCCTGCCTGGTCTGCCACCTCAGCATGAACAACTCCACTACCCAAGTGGCAGATGATTCTTCTAAGCTCTGGAATATAATCAGATCTGAAATGGAGAACCTGATGTGGACACTGAGGTGTAAAGAAGGAAAAAGGAAATTGGAAAAGACTTTGAAAGATAACTGGAGTTCAGGGAACCTAAATGTGACTTTCTCTGATGAGGACACCCCAGCAGGCCTGAGGGGTACTGTGAGTCCTCCCAACCTTGGACGTCCTGGGGACTGTTGGCCTTTTCCTGTCTTTTCAACATTGCAGGAAATGTCTTGCCTGGATGATGAGACTAAGTGAAAATCAAAGAAAGATGCAACACACTGTTTTAAATAACTTTATAATTTCCTGATGGATTTAGTTTGTGAATAAAAAAGAAAAAACGAACAAAGTGTTATACAATAATTATCAAGGCAAAGTTGAACAGAACACAATTTCATTGTAATGTTGTTATCTGGTAGGCAACACGACTCCAGCAATCACACACATGTACAGTTGAAGGCAGCAGGTGTGTTTGGATCACAGATACCACCATTTAGGCTGCTGCTGCTGTTACCAAAAGGGACTCAAGCTATAAGGAGCCAGTACCCAGTGCTCCCCAGCTCCCCATTAAAGTGCAACACGTCTCTTCTGAAGCAGGGGAGTCAATCCTAAGTCCCCATCCTGGACATCTTGATGTACATGGCAGGTTCCTGGTCCTGCAGTGAGGCAGACCAGCCCAGAAGGTTGGTATGTGCCCCAGGTAGGTCTAGCTGCTTTAGAGGATGGATGCAATACTGTTGTGGCATGGAAAGAAGGGCTGGGCTGGAGTGCTCTGGTCGAGGAGTGGATTATCTCACTCCAACATGGTTCACTTCCTTTCCTGACCATGGCATCTCTGGGGCCAAGAGAGAGTGCCTAGACCCAGGCAACTTGGGGTCTAAAAAGCTTCAGGGGAAGGAAGTCTAGGGTCTGAAATCAGAAGGAACTGAGTTCTAGTACAATCCATTGCACCTGGATCGCAGGCTCCAGGCAGGCCAATGTCGGCCCTGTTGGATGGTCACTGGATGATATAGCACCAAGTGGGCAGGAAAGAGGTCCTGTGGCCTGCCAGGCAAGGGCTTCAGAGTCAAGCCCAGGTTACCACACAGTATAGGCACACTGGGCTGGGACCAACATGGGGGTGAGGGTGCTTCTGGGTCATCAACTTTAAAACCTCTACTCAGAGGTCCTGAGGATATATAGGAAAATCCTGGCACAATTGAGTCTCTGAACCCCCAGATTCTCATTCCTTTGACTAAGCAGTTGTCAGCTGCATCCAGGCAGTCACCTACCTGGAGTATGGTCATTGTGTTTCCCAAGGGGCTGGCCAGGCTGCCACCTTGGCCAAAGGGAGGATGGGGAGGAGTTTGGCTGCCCCATAGCTTGAATTCCTTTATTAAAATGATATTGGTTTGCATTTTAAAAACACAGCTCTTTTAATTTTTCAGTTCTACAACTACTTTTTAATATTTTAATATTTTCAACAATGGACACAAAGTAATTGCCCCGATTCTCTGGATCACACAGACAATATCAACAAGCAGAGAAACGAAAGAGGAGGTGGGATGGGTCAGAAGTCCACTCCCTCAAATCAATCCTTAAAACCACTTCTCTTCCGAAAGGGGCAGGAGGAGAAATACCTACAACAGGGTCACAGTACGTGCCAAACACATTGGAAAAAATCAGGAGACACTTGGTTACAGTTTTGACACTAAAAAGTTTGGAAACAGTTTTTGCTTAAAAAGAGTAGGTGAAGACAGCCATTTTGTTCAGAAGGATTCCCCTATAATGCATGTTTTCTTCTTGTCTTAGTTCACATGGGGGAAAATTGCAGATTCTTTAAAAAAACATTTCTTTGAATGTTTCCAGTCTTTTCCTGAGAAGCCCAGGGATTGGCAGTGGTGGAGGGTTGGACTGTGGGCTCTGCAGAGGGCGGCTTGCTGCCACGCAGTCCATTCTCTTCTTGCCCTTTTTCCTCAGGTCTGATCTCTGCAGTAGGGAGATAAGGCTGGGGAGGCAGATGTGAAAGTCATTGACACTGCTGACACAGGGTCCACTGGGACTTAGGAAAGGCCACATGAGCGTCACATTCTATTGGTGAAGTATTTCTTGCTTTGCTCTTTCCTCAAAGACGCCATGGGTAATCAATAGGCCAATGCGTAAGTAATGCAGTCAAACAGGTGGGCACAATGTGTCTGGGGCCAGCAGGATTCCCTAATAGCAAGTCCAAATGCCAATCTGGACCCTCAATGAGGGATGGGATGTTAGAACATCAGTGGACTAAACTCTGTGGTGACTTCCCCTCCCTCTTTTGATTCTGGGGAGTAGGTGAGCCAATGAGCTCCTCATGGAATACCAAATAGATTTCAATTGACAAAAAGTTGCAAGTCACATTGTCACTAGCAACATTGATTGTGGTCTTAGGTCCAGTCTGCTTTCCTAGTATTTCTAAAGCCCACATTTAAGGAAGAGAGACTCACTTAGATATTCTTTGACAGTAAGATACAAACAAGAACAAAAGTTAGTGCTGAGGTGGATCTGGGGATTCCCTTCATATTTCTTAGTATGTTAAAGCTCACTTGAAGTCTTTTCCCTTTCAAATGGTATACGTGTCTTCGTAAATCTCAATTCAGACACTTTTCCAATGACTCAATGAATACCTGGGATAGAGGTATATGAAAAAATGAGAAACTCACATGGTATTTCTTCTGTCATGAGTCCCAGGTTGGTTTCTATACCCTCTCTTTCTAGTCCTCCTCATGCCTGACCTCGATTTGGGGTGCAGATGTGAAGTGCTAAAGGGCAACAGACTTGACAATGGGATGGATACATGTGAGGAAGGTTGTAGGCAACCTGCAGTGAGTCCTTAAGGCAATAAACCTCCTGGATCAGTGAGTGGCCTTGTGAAACTATGAATGACAGAGGGTCATGGAACAAGTCCCAGTGTGATGGGAGTTGCGCATTTAGTAGGTGTTAGCTCTATGAATTATCTAAATTCAGTAAGATGCTCTCAATGATAGAAACCAAATTAACTGTGCCCCTGCAATATAAAGGCAGGCCATATTCACTGTTAACTTTAGCTAAACTGTCCCCACAATCATTTGAGATGCCAGATCATCACCCAAGAAGGATCAAGGAGTTTACCACTGTGGTGCATAGATACCAGACAGCTGATGTCTGTCCCAGAAATTTTTCCTCCCAGAAGCACCTGTCACAAAGGGCTTCCTAAGTCTTTCTGGAGGGAAGTGATGGGAAAGACTGAAATGAAAGGGGAAAGAGGACAGTGATAAATACAGTACATAGGCAAGGTGCCAAGCATGGCCTCTGATGAGAAGGGCCAAAGGGGTGGGTCTAGGGAAGCCTCTTGATGCTGTCCCTTGCTAGCCAGAGAAGCTGGCCAGTGCCTGTGCCAGGCTGCTTCTGTGGACATGGGCTCTTCTCCCATTTTCTCTGCTCTGCTGTAGCCCTGTGAAGCTGTTTTTATACCTCAGTTCTTTACATTACAGAGGGTAAAGAGATTCTAATACTCCAGTTCTGAAATACTGAGGGCTTTCTCTATGATTTATGAGCAGTGCAGTAAATAAAGAGAACTGAGGTAACTGACCACCAATGACCACCACTTACCATCTAGCCCCTGTAGCCCCTGTGCCCAGCTCAGCCATCAGGAAGTATCTCAGTGAAAGGTTTATGAGTAGAGTACATTTAAACCTCTGATAAGGAACTCCACAGCTTCTCAAGTAGGAAGGGACTGTGTTATGGCAGGGAAGGAGGAAACCTAGAGACGAGACTATGTGAAGATCCCATTGGGCAATCAATGGGCCAATGCTTAAGTAATGCAGTGGACTTCACAGGCAGCATTGAACTCTCAGTGAGTAACTAGGGAAGGACAGAGGAGAAAATGCAATTCAAAAACATTTATTCCAGCAACTGTTATGAGAAGATTTGTGTGTTCGGGGGTTCCTGGTGGTAGAGGTGGTCAAAGGGCCAGATTTGGGGTAAGCCCTCTATTTCTCAGTGACATATATATTTTACACAACTACCATTGTCTAAGCCTTGGGCAAAATGTCCCCTGAAATGCCAATTCTTCAACTGGATTTGCTACTGTAGGGTTGACTTTCTGATTTCATCAAGGAGCTGAGTTCCATGAGGTGAATGCAATGTGTTAAGAAATCACTGTCTACAAGCAGACACTTTTTAAAGGAAACAACAGCAAAAATTCTGAACCACCACAAATCCTGCAGGCAAATAAAGGACCGTCACCCCAAACCACCAATTCTATGATACTGAGAAATGCTGACTTGTGACAGACTTTTCTAGAAGATACTTTCTAGATGGGGAGTGGACTTGGGGATACTTGCCCAGCATGTGTGCTGCCCTGAGTTCAATTCCTAGCACAGCAAGGGGGGAAAAACGCTGAGGGAGGGGACAGGTAAGCTTTTTATTGCTTTGACTCAATCAGATGTCTCAAAGAATCCACTCTATCTCTTCCTCACTGAAAAGACATTTCAACAATGAGTGTCTAACATGTTGACTTGTATGCAGTTGCCATTTCATAAATATTCTCAGAAATAATTGAGGGAATGTATGTGGGATAAGTCAAACTCAACTTTTGTCAAAAGAAGATTCTATGTATTGCATGGGGCTGTGATTCTGAAAGAGAAGTCAAGAATAAAGTAAAAGGGTGAGGGATGGATCATACATGTCAGCAGAGCAGAAGCTGGGGACAGGGGTGTGGAGGCAGAAAGCATACTGGGAGATGTTCCGGAGAAACCAGCCTAACTGACCCAAAGAAGATCACTTTCTAGAGCAGCAAGGCTGAAGGTGGTGATGTCAGGGCTCCATGTGTCACACCCCTCTTCTCTTTCAAACAGAGGTATTTGACCTAGTGATGAAATAACATAAGAAGAAGGGTCTTAAAAACAAGGGAGAGCAGGGGAAGAACTGTTCACATCCTCCTCTTGTGAACTGAGGAACAGCAAAGAAGAGTGAGATAGACAGGACTGGGATGAAGATTTAAAACTTGGGGTTGAATGCCTGCTAAGCCTGCAAGAAGCCTGTCTGCACCCCCTGTGTAAAACACTACACAGGAGAAGAAAACAGGACCATAAAGAGAAGAGTTGGGTTTCCATTGTCTCTGATCTCCTTCCCTCCTCTCATTTTGAGATTTTTTTTTTTTTTAACACCCTTTTAGAAGAAAGCTCCCATTGTGATATTCCAACACTTAACTCTCTGGCCCACGGTGAGGATTCTCTCAGCATGCTGAACTCTGAGGAGATTTCAGATTTGGTTCTCACATCAGAGGACGATGGAAGGTGAGTGGACTCTACTTCACGGCCCTCTAAGAGCAGAGCCACCAGCTTCCCCAGCTCCCCAGTGCTGATGATTGGAGGCTAGTTCTTCATAGAGATGTGGTCATTTACCACCTTGGACGTCAAGGACATTAGTGTAGAGACAACATTTAAAGCAGAAAGGCGGAGCAAGATGACAGACGTACAAACAGGCTGGAATCGCACTTCTTCAAGTGAGCAAGACATCATGTGGTTTGTAGTGTATGGTGCTAAGAAGTTCCTGGATGCCTATTCCTCATAGTTTTCCTTTCTTGCCTCCTCTCTGGGGCTGCTGGGCTGGTCACTCCCCACGAAGCAGGGTCAGGACGACTCTTCCAGTGCATTGACCACTTGCTCCAGGATGTCAGGGCAGTGGTCTGCTATCTGCTGAAGAATGGCATTGGCAAACTCCTGCAGTTCTGCATTGTCCCGTTCGCCTTTTTCCAACTCATCCTGAAGCTGAAAGGGAAAGGAGAAGTGGATTTCAGGTAAAATAAAATTAAAAACTATTTACATTGAGTTAAGAATTATTGCTCATTAATAAATGACAAAAGAGGTGCTTTCTATGTGAAGTCTCCCTTCATCAAAATTGAAAAGTATGAAAGTAAACATCAAGGGGCCGGGGATGTGGCTCAAGCAGTAGCGCGCTCGCCTGGCATGCGTGCGGCCCGGGTTCGATCCTCAGCACCACATACCAACAAAGATGTTGTATCCGCCGATAACTAAAAAATAAATAAATATTAAAAATTCTCTCTCTCTCTCTCTCTCTTAAAAAAAAAAGTAAACATCAAATATTTCTTCATGAAAATGAAGACGTTAATGACTAGTTCCAAGCCCAAAGCTGGTGACCTGCAGAGTTGGGATTCAACCTTCCTCTCATTCTAGGTGGTATCTTGTTTTTTCCACTGTGCTGCAGTCTCACATTCAGTAGTGGGAGGGGGCTCTTATGACCTCAAATAGAATCTTAACCTTAGAGGGTTCTTCCCCCTTGGAGGACGAGTCCCCTCGACCAGGGGTGCTTTTGGGGCTTCCTCCGCCACCCTGGTTGGAGGGCTCTCCCCCCTTGGGGAGGGGTCCCCTTGACCCAGGTTGCGGTGGGAACTCCCCCCTACACCCCAGTTTGAGGGCTATTGCAGTGCTCCTTGTTCTAGGGACACATATAATTAAAAGGACTTTTGCGTCTGTTCTACTGCTTTTATTTAGTACGCTAGACTCTTTGGCCTGCTCATTTACCTAAAGAGATTATTTTGAGAGATATAAGATAGTCCACATGTTTAGGAAAAAGCATATTTCTAATTTTCTATTTGCTTTCAATACCCTCTTTGACATTCCTTTAAGCATGTTAGCCGAGTGCCTACTATGTGTTAGGTAGTGAAAGATGAATGACTTTGGTCCTTGTCCTAAACCCATTTAGGTTAACAGAGGAGACAAGCATATTAACAGACAAATTATAACCCAGCACAGTAAGGACCAGGATGAAGCATGTGCTGAGAGGGGAATGTAATGACTATTTCCTCTTGGAGGAGACGGACAAGGTGTTACTAAAAGGTGCCTGGTATGTGGGTCTTGAGAACCAAAGAGGAGTCTGTCTGAAAGATCAAAGGCAGAAAAGGCCTTGGAGCAGATGAGGCAAATGCAGATGTGTGGAGTGAGGAGGGGCTTGGCACAGACTAGGGAAATGTGAAACACACAGCACGGCTGGAGGCCAAGGTGAGGGGACTGGGAAGAGTGACAGGAATGCAGCTGAAAAGACAGGTGAGGGCCAGGCTGTGTACGTGAAGCTAGGGAGTTCAGATGCAATCTAGTTAAAACCCAAACCCAAACCAAAGCTCCAAGAAAGAGGAGGTCCAAGTTTAAAACTGTACAGTGACATGAGCACCTTCATCTTCTTAGAAAGATGCATTAGGAGATAAGAAGGACATGCTGGATTGAGTGGAGGGAAGACTACTTCAAGAGGCTACTATAGGAAGCCCAATAGAGCTGAGGTGGCTGAAAACTAAGGGAGGCTCAAGGCCTTGGGGAGGAACACACACACAAAGACACATTAGCTTTTTCAAAGTTGAGTTCAGTGAGTGAGAATAGAAAACTATTTTTAACAATTTCAGCTGGGGATGACAATTTGAGGAAGTGCAGATTTTAGGAAAGAAAAGAGGGAAATAAAAAACTGAGTATAAAGTGTAGTTAAGAACACTGGCTCTGGGGTTAGGAGGCCTGGGTTTCAATGGCTGCTCTGCCCATTATTAATTTATATGACCTTGACCCCTCCTTATCTGTAAAACAGGACCATAACATTGTTTCAGAGTTGTTTCAAGTATTTAATGAAACAGTCATATAAAGTGCAGTGTAATGCCTGGCACATTAAAAATGCTCGATGAATGTTTAGATGTTAAAATTATTATTGCTGTTGTTATCAAATAGATAAGATCACCCGAAAGAGCAGGGAAATTAAAAAGCAAAGAGAACCAAATTCTAATTCCACTGCTGTTATAATCTAGATGCTCTGAGTCAAGAATTATCAAACATAAAAAGTCAAGAAATATACCTAATACCCTTCCTTCTGCTAAATGTTGACTAAGAGACCAGAGCATTTGAGGGTGAGAATTAAGACTACAGTAGGTTCAATATAAATACACTTCAACATAAATACCTGCATGTAGTTTTAAAGTTATAATTCTAATATTCTAGGACTATTAGAAGAGACAAACTGAAGTATGTAAAATATTCACTCAAAAAGTATTACCTGAGTGGCCAATAAAAAGAAATGAAGTCCTTATGTATGATACATTATTTAAACTACGTTATATTTAGTGTATCTTATAAGTGAAAGAAGCCAATCATAAAATACCACAAATTTACGCCCCTTTGGGTACTGGGGGTTGAACTCAGGGGCACTTTACCCTTGAGCTACTTTCTCATCTAATGAATCTACTGACTTACATATCTGAAATGGGAAAATTGTATGGTATGTGAATTATATCTCAATAAAAATAAAAAAATTGTGCAGTACATACCTACAATGAAGAAGAAATTAAAATACTACTGTCTTTAGTTGAGCAGAAAGGGGAGAGGGAGGAGGAAATTTCTCAAAGAATGTGGAGGTTGGCAGTAATGGACAGAAAAAGGGTAATTTAAAGTGGAAAGACAGTATGAGCTATGGCAGCAGGTAGAAAAATGTTGCTGGCAGTGCAGGAATATAGAAATTTTTGGATCTTGACAGAATAACCCCAGCTTTTCGAGAATGACAAAAATGCTCCTGGGCTGGTCAGCCTTGGGCATTACCCCTCGGAGAACCCCCTTCTATTACACAGATTCAGTGAAGCCACACCTAGAGACCTGTATTCCATTTCAGACACCTCATTAACAGAAAGATGGAGGCAAACTGGAAAGAGTTCAAAGAAAATGGCAGGCATGACTAAGAAGCTGAGAGGATAATTTTATGAGGCAGGATTAGAAGAACTAAATATATAGACCCAAAATGAGTAAAAAATAAGGGGAGGGAATGTGATTATTACCTATGAATGTCAGGAGGGTGTAAACAATAAGTGGGGAGAGTGACTTAGCACCACAGGAGGAAGTATAACTAGAAGTGATGGAATGAGATTAGGGGAAAAAGAAAAAAAAAAAAAAACTAGAGGTAGACTATAAGGCTTTGCTTTTCCCAAAGTCTAATGAATGACTTACTTGGGAAAAGGTATTTAAAAATAGAGGGGATCAGAAGGATCAAAAGGTTTAGAGAAGGAAGTGTTCCTTCAGTAGCTGGAGCTGCTTTCCATTTGGTAGGCCTTTCTCTGTTCTCTAGGGATTCTGCATTTTTCGAATTTTACCAGTTTTATATGTGGGCATGGCTGAGCCGGGAGAAGTTTCATTGACACCTGATCCATTAGATGCTAAAATTTCTTGACTTGAAATAAAACTCAGCGATCACCCTCTCCTGTAAAAGTAGAATTGCTTCCTCCCTCCCTTCCTTTCAAGTGCTCTACTACTGAGCCACAGCAGCCCAGCCTTGAGATTACTTTTAAAATGAGGGTGTTTATTTCACCAACTTTGAAATGCAAAGCTTTGGTTATTCTCAAGTCAAAGGAGTACAGAAATGTGTGTTTAGATCACCTAGGAAAGTAACCACGTGAAGTGACCAAACAAAAATGTAGACAGATGTGTTATACCACACAGGTGTGAAAACAATTCCTGAGATGGATTAGTACCTTGCTACTTTAAAATATTTTGTTAACGTGTATGTCACACGTAAAAAGGAAGTTTTTTTTTTTTTTTTTAAGGTTTTGGAATGTAGTAGATTCTACGGATACATTGGGAAAGGTGTATTCTAGCTTCTGAGATTTAACACATCAGATGACATCAGATGTCACTCAGGATGTTTTTGCTACATTCTTTCTTTTTTGGTGCCAGGATGGAACCCAGGGCCTTGCACATGTTAAGCGGTTGCACTACCACAGAATGCACCCCCAACTCCTCTTGCTGCTATCTACCCCTTGCCTGCTGCCCATGACCCCTCTGCCTGACTATCTTCTTCCCCTTCCCTCCCCTTGTAAGAAAGGTCCCATTCAGGGTTAAGGCCAAAAGAGAACTTTCCAAATGGCAAACGTGTAACATTTAAAATTTAATGAAAATGTTTCTTACATCTCAGTTTCAATGAATTAATTCCTTTTTCCCTTTTCCTTTCCTTGTTAAGGTTACAAATCCAATCACAGTGGAAGTAAGACTGAGCAATCTAGCAAGAGTTTCTATTTCCTATAGCATTAGTTTGGATCTGAAATGACTCTCATCCCTGCAAAGTCCCTAGCCTGTGGTACCATTGGTTGGTAGGACCTTTAAGAGGTGAGGCCTAATGGGAGAAAGTTAGTCAAGGGGGGGGGCATGTAAGCTACAAGGTGAGAATGTTCCTTTACCATGCAATCCTGCCATGATGTGCTGCCTTGTCACAGGGCCCCCAAAGCAATAGGGCCAATCAATCCTGGACTGAAACATCCAAACTGTAAGCTAAAAACAAATCTTTTTCTCTTTATGACTTGATTATCTCAGGTATTTTTTATAGCAATGGAAAGCTAACGTACCTGTTCTAAACTTTCTAATAGTGGCAGGCTAATTCCACCACCGAAACTACTACAGTGAAAAATGATACCTTCTTGTTTATTTTCTGTAAACATCACAGTTTGTAGGCAGCATATAAGTTCATATGACCCCCCCTCAAGATATAAAGACAGGTTTTTGTCTATGTATTGACAGTTTTACATCTAGAGACAAACAACAAAATGCCTAAGAGCATACACAGAGTAAAACAATTTTTACTAAGTTGCAAAACAATTTTGGTCCCATGAACTGGCCAGCTCTTCCTATAATTTAAGCATCCTCCCTACATAAAATAGAAAATATCCACAAAATGTTCCTTCAGCCTCTCAGGTACCTTAGGATTTTGTGGTAGGGCTTTCTCCCCACAAACCTTA